GTTTCTGTGATGGATTCCTTCATTCGATATTTGTAAATGAAAAGAAACACCAACTCAGTTATCTTTTCTCGTAGCAGAATTCGCAGCAAGGCTTCAATGTCTATTGGAGACTCTGGGGTGCCTGAACTCTCTTCTTCTTCCTGGAAGCTCATTTCTTCATGTATATCTCCCCACAAAGTAGGTGAGGTGGAGGAGTTCTGAGCACTCTGAACTATGCTTACCAAACTGGTAGCATGCCCCTCATTCTCTGCCAGGTTTTCCTGAAACAGTGAAAAGCGGGAAGATGAGGAAGAGGAAAGGGGAGAAGGAGGGGAGAAACTAGATAAAGAAACATTAGAAGAGAGAAAATATATGGAAGACGTGTCAGACTCTTGATCTTCATACTCTGATTCCTCTTTATTCTCTCCTCCATCTTCATTAACTTCTCCATCTTCGTACTTTTCATTTTCCTCTCCCCTGATTCTTTCCTTTTCCTCTTCTTCATTGTTATCGTCCTTTTCTTCCGTCTCTTCTTCCTCGTCTTCTTTCCCAGTGTTATCCTCCTTCTTTTCTTTCCCCTCTTTCCTCTCCGCCTCCCCCTCCTCCTCCTCTTTTTCTTCTTCATCTTCATCTTCATTTTCTTTGTCTTCTTCCAGTGTGTCTTTGTCAACCTTCATTTCTTCCTCCTCCTGCTTCTCCTCTTCCTGCTCCTCCTGCTCCTCCTCCTCCTCCTCTTCTTCCCTAGTGTGATCCTCCTTTTCTTCCCCAATATTATCTTCTTCTTCTTTCTCTTTTACCTCCTCCCACTCACTCTCTTCTTCCTCTTCACTTCCCTCATCCTCAGCTGTGGGAACTCGTGCAAACATCAACTCTTGTTCATTTGGGGTCTGGACGTCTCCCTCAAGGCTGAGGCGCAGGTACTTTCGATAGTGAGGCATTCTTATGTTTACTGGAGGCAGCAGACAGAAATGTAAATAGTAGTGTACGGAGAGATCCTCCAGGCCTTGGGAAAATAGAAACAAAGTGAGCAGCCTTGGATGAAAACATCAGATCTGAAGGTTCTAACAAAAGGCACTTACAGGTCTTCTGTAGGTAAAGTACAGGAGCTTCAGAGTTTTGCAGCCTTTTCACTTGGTTTGTCCTTTAGGAACCTGTGGAATCAAAATATAAAGACTTAGGGTTCATCCAAATGTAAAGCCTGACTCCAGGGCCCAAGCTAACCTATGTGGAACCAGGTGCCGTGAGGTCCCGGTGTTCTGCAGACACATATGGAGGGTGAACATCTCAACTGTGACTCCTTCAACTTTCTGATTCTCTTTTGATATGTGATCTGACATCATCTAACTGAACCCAAGATGACTACTCTAGTTCCTGGAAGGTCTCTTACAGGGTCTCATAGCTGACAGATGCAGCTGGATTCTGAGACTCTCCATAGTTCTGTTTTGGAAACTTCCCTTTCTGCTTATCTTTATCTTAGGAAGGGTTGGATTCTACCCATCAGGTAGACTGAGGCCAAACTCTCAGAGGAAGTCCCTGCATGCCTGAAACAATGAAAAGAAAGTGAAAGAACACCATCACCAACAATATCAGGACAATGGCTAATTTGGGTGACAAAAAGTGCTAGCTAAACTCTGCAGGGATCACAACTCCTCTAAGTGAGAGGTTCTTTCATTCTTCACCATGATAACTATGAGCATCCTCCCTCTGTTGAACTCAGTCTTCTCCCTTAGAACAAGCAGTCAGTTCTTTGAGCATAAGCATAGATCAGGGGAATGAGGTGCATTTGATTACCTACACAAGGCCTCCAAGAGCGAACACTATGGCAAGGTACTGGTGAATATGCCTTCAGTTCTGGAAAGGCAGAGGAGGCTTACACCCTTAGTTCTCACTCAGGGTCCTTACCTGAATTCCAGGCAGAGCTGAGGACTCTTTCCTCCGCTGATCTGATATTCTTCTTCCACAGAATGCTGTCTCTACAAAGCTCCTCACTTCCTGAGAACACAGATAACAGTGAGTCAAGCCATACCACAAGGACAACCCAACTGCCACAGAATTGGAGGAGGAGGGCAGTCCCAATTGCCTAGGCATTGCCCTTTTGAATGGCACAGGTAAGGTTATAACCATTACCTTTTCCAGAGTTCCATGTTTGGGCTCTGAAGTTAATGAGGCTTTTTTAAAGGTTGTTGGACTAGACTATAGGGAAGGAGTGCCAGGTTTGGGAAATAAGGGAAGAGAACCCCAGTAGAGGGCTGAGAGGACACTATGGGTTGATGAGGCACATTCTCATCCCCTGCAGATGTAGTGGGGTTGGAATTAGCTTTTGTTGGCCATGGTGGGCTACACAGAGTGAGGTAAGTTGCTTCAGTAATTTTAATTTGGGAGGCTTTGTGTGTGGGGGGAGGGGTGAACTGGAATTGGTAATGGAAGAGTGTCAGACTTGTGAAATACCAGAGGAATCTGTATCAGACTTCTCCCAGCCCTCCCTTATCAGGGCAGTACACTGAATATTTTCCAAGACAGGAAATCCTCCACAGACATTTTGGAGGAAAAATAAGATAAACCACCCTTGATCTCTGCATATGGAATTTTGTTCCAGGTGCCAGGGTCCTAGCGTGGCTGTCGAGGGAAGTAGGACTTACATTCTTATCACTATTTCTGTAGGGAAAGGGAAAGCCCCACTCCTCTTCCAAAGGGTTATCTCTTCATCCTTTCTAGTCTTATCCCAGGGCCCCCCTCCAGGGTCTTTCCCTGAATCTCCAAAAAGCAAGTGCATTAGTAAGCAGGAGTGGATCCTCACTATTTCTTCAGGAGAAAGAAAATCTAGTGAATTCTTCCCTCAAAGTAATGTTCCTCAAGCCCGAACCTCCTACATGTGATGGCTGGTGTCCAATCTCCTACTAAAAAAAGTAATTGAAAAAAAAAAAACAAAAACACCCTCATCTCTCTCAGTCTCTTAGCATAGAATAGGTAACATCAGGATTCTCATACTGTGCAACCTGCCTGGAGCCATGCAGGGTCAAGAGCTGAATAAGATACCAGAAGAGCTCTATTTATTCAGATGAAGGAAAGACTCTTTGTCCTCTCTCAGAATTTTCCCAACTTTCCCACAGATCCCCATCTTAATCTACCTCCAGGCAGATACCCCTGAAATGAAGACCCAAATCAATAACCTTCCTCCAAATTCTCGCCTCCCTCATACACTGAACATTTCACCAGTGACACAAAACAGTTTGAATTATTACATGACACAGAACTTACTTCAGAACTCCAAGCACACACATTGGGAGACCCTCCCAGTTTCTGTAGGGGAGGGGAAGGCCAGAACTTCTCAGTCAGGGTTTCTTTTCTAGGCTCAGATTCTTACACATGATGACCAGAGTCTTAGCCCCTCCCAAAAACCATCAGTTCCTTCAACTTGTAAGATAATACCCTAGAAACAATAGACTCCACACAGTGCCTAAAGAATTAGGGATGAATGCTCCTTAGGAAAATAGTCTAGCCACCCTACTTCTGTGCAGAAGGAGCAGACCTCAAAACCCTCCTCACATAGCTACCTTGATTGTTCCTAAGACTGGGACTGTTCCCTGCCAACCTGAGTCCAGGAGCTTCCCCCATAAGGCTCATTTCTGTTCAACGCTGAACAAGGAAAGCTGAGAAACAAAGAGCATGGGCCGAACTTGGCTTGGATCCTCCTAGAACTACTGCGTCAGTCTCAGAGATAACTGATCCCTCTTTGAGGGAAGAAAAAGCTCGCGTTAACTTTTATCATCCTTCCACTCGAGGCAGGATCCATTCCTCCAATAAACCTTATAAAGCTTTCTCCCCCATCTCCTGCCAACCAGGGAAGGAGTTGCATTCACCCTCATTATTTATGTTGGGGTCAAGGCTTCTCTAATTCTCTATCCCAGCCCTCCCAGCATTTTAAGGCTCTCTCTTATTCTTTTCCACCCTTGGATTTGTCCCATGCTAACCCCAGTTCTGCCCACTCACAAACTGTCCCTCAGCATCCCAAATGAAAACAAGAAACAACGTACTCCTCAACTTTCTGGAAAGTTCTTTGGATGAAAGCCAGGGAAGGTGAGGCCCAGAGCTCTGTATGTGTAGGGAAGCAGGAGATTTCCAGTCTCCCCACAATTTATTTCTCCCTCAAAGCCTTCTCCTCAGTATTTTCCCGTTTTGGAACTTGAACCCTGCCCACTCAAAAAAAGCCTTACTTACCTCACTTAAACTTCTGACACAGAGCTCCGGAAGCAAACACCAAGCCGTAATACAGCCTGGCTTTGTCTGCCGTAAAGTGTCGCTATTGTCTCAGGCTCCTCCCACTGGAGGCCGGAACTTTCTCTTCCTGATGACCCTAATTCAGGTTCATCCCATGAAAGTCAAGTTCGTAGACTCCTGATAATTCGCTTGTAGAAACAATGTTTAGGCTTGCAACCATGCCTAGAGATTCCCAAGGCAACTTATAAAAGACTGGTATCCTTTTATTCCTGTAAGCAAGGGAAAGCTCCTGTTCCTCAAGATCCTCCCACACAAGATTACAACTTTTCCTCGTAACCTGATCCAGGTCTGACCCCAGACCTTATTCCCCAGACTCTGGACTACCGGCTTACGGAAACAAAATTTAGAGCTGCAACATTGCCTAGAAATTCCAGGACAACCGACTGGTCAAGGAGGACTGGCACCTTACTGTTTCTGTAATGATCAGAAGGCTCCTATTCCTCCTTGAGGTCCCTAACACTTAGGACCAGGGCTTCTCCAAGGTGAATGGGGTTCCCTCCCTCCCCCAAACACCTCACTGCATTCAGCCTAGCCAACGCAAACTGGAAACAGAATATCCCCCACCTTTTCTGGATCCTTTCTGGAAGGAATACTAGGAAAGTAAGGCCCAAACTCCTGTGTGTAGAGGAATAGGAAATTCACAATCCCCACTCAGGATGAATGGAAACATTCATCCCTCAAATGCCTCTCCTCAGTATTTCCCGAGGACAGGCCTGCTTCCCTGCTTAGCTGAGTCTTGCCCACTCCCTAAAATTCTCAACTTCCCTGGATGCCCCACATGGAATTCAGGGAAATAAATTATTTCATCCAAGGTCTGATATGGAACCTTCAGGGGGAAACTGGCCCCAGGGCCACAGGTCTAGCGATTTTATTTATGGAGAAAAGAATAACTCCCAATCCTCTCTCAGAATCCTACCAAGCTTTCCCCATTGTTTTCTCCTTTATGACTACCAAGGTTAGGACATGTCTCATCCTACCCCAAGTCCGGTGCCTTCATTAAAATATTCAGCTTTCTAGAACTCATGACATGGATATCTGGGGCAAAAGAGATTCAAAATGTGATCTGGAATGTTACTCCCCAGGGACACCTGCTTACAGAAGCAGTATTGCCATTTCTCCAGAGGGAATGGGGGCTCCCAAATTTCTTTCAAGATATGTACCCTCAAGGCAGTGGCTCCTCCCCTCCTTAATGGAATCCACCTTCTTTCAAGAGCTTCATTTAACTCAGCCTCTTAAGAAGCTCACGCTGCCAAAAGCTTCCTAGGGATGACTGCTGAAAAGGTGGGACCAGCCCTCTACACCTGTGCAGGAAGGAAAGACACAATACTCTCTCAGCATCCATATAACATTATCTTCTCCCTCAGGGTTCTGCCCTTCAAGGTTTGAATATCTACATGTGATGACTGTAGTCTACTCCCTTGTCAGAAAGATTCATTTTCCTTAGCCTCTCAATATGGAACAGCGGAAGTCTCAGACTGCTAATCCTGACCAAAGCTTCCCAGGGATGACATCTCTTTAAGCCTGAACCCTATTTCTGTCAGAAAAAAAGAAGCCTTTCAAACACCAGTCTTCTGAGTACTCCCTCAAAGCCAGGAGCTCTGTCATAGTAACTTGGCTACTGATCCCTCAAATTTTATCACTCTTCTCATGCCGTATACATTTCACTAGGAGAGGAGAACTTTCCACTTTGATAAGATCTAAAGCCTACCTGGGTAGCTGCCTGTGTAAGCAACACTTAGAAAGACCCTGTTTCTGTGAAGGAAAGGAAAATTCACATCTACTACCTCCGTGTCCTCCCATTCAGGACTTAGATTACTTTCCTGTTCAAAATCCAGCAGCTGCTCCAAGAACCTTACCTCCCCCAGACACTGTAGATGAAATTCTGTTAACAGCACATTGCGCACAATGCTTAAAGCTGCCCTATGGTGAATGCTGAGGAAGGCAGTCCAACCACCTCAAATCTTCCTTAACTAGTCTCCAGTCTTCTTGCAAGATTTCTTCTTGCTAGTTCCCAAAGATAGTATTCCTCCCCTGCAATCTTAGGGCCAGCCTCCCCCAAAAGTGCCTCACCTCTCTCAGTCCCTATGTTTTGGTTTGAGTGAGAATGTCTCCCATAGGCTCCAAATGTTTGGACATTTGTCCCCAGTTGATAGCACTGTTTTGGGCAGTCTTAGAAGGTGTGTTGAAGGAAGCACATCCATGGGAGTGGGCTTTGAGATTTCTTAAGCCTTGAGGCTTTTTCTGCCTTGCTCTGCTTCCTGTGCCTGCTAGGTGATGTTAGTGTTTGGCTTCTGCTCCAGCCATGTCCTGTTCCCATACTCTCCTGACGTAATGGACGCTAACCCTCTGGAATCAAACCAAATGAACTCTTCCTTCTTTAAGTTCCCTTGGTCATGGTGTCTTAGCAGAGCAACAGAAAAGTAACTAAACTAATGCACTGAACTCTTGGAAACAGTCTTCAAACATTCATCCTTGACTGAAACCTTCTAGCCAGAGCAGCTAACTGCCAGGGCAAGCAGACTGGTTACTGCTCCTTATTTGTGTGAGGAGAGTAAAGCATACTTGTCTCTCTCGGGGCACTCATGCTCAAGGCTGAGACTTAGTCCTCTGGTGAACAGAGTGCATCCTCACCCTAGAAGCCTTCACCAACCTTAGCCTCTCTTTTGGAGGCTGGGAAATAATACACCCCCTCATTCTGCCTGGATCTTGCTAAGAATGACTACAGAAGAAGGCAGTGCCATGGGCCCTATGTCTCTGAGACAGCTGAAGGCAATCATCCTCCCTCAGTGCCTTTCCAGACCTCCACTCATGGCTCTCCCATGATTTGCTTGGGATAGGATTCCATTTAAGTCAAACACATCAAAATTTTAACCTACCTAATACTTACACATGGACCAAAAATAGATTGGCCAAGTACCCAAAACTTTAACTTACCTGAAGCTTTAGACATGGAGCAAAATAAAAATATATTGTTACCATGTCCAAATCCCCTTGGGTAAGTGTCTTATAAAGTAAGACTAAGTGCTCCATATTTCTATAGTGGAGCACAAGGCAACTACTCCTCTCTTAGAATCCTCATTGTCAAAGCTGGAACTCTTCTGCTGTGGTCTGGATTTCAGCACATGACCAAAAATCCTCAACTCTCTGAGACTACCAAGATGGAACTCAAGAAAAACCATATTGTTTATCCTGCCTAGAGTATCCCAGCAGTGACTATCAGGGTAGAAAGGATAAATTCTCATGCTTTTTGGAGGAAGGATGTCTCCCAGTCCTCACTTACTGTCCTTCAAGTCCCCCCTCACTTCAGTATTTCACTTCTTTGGGACCCTTTTCCTGTAGACTCAAGTCCAACCCACCCTGAAATCCTCAACTCCTATGTACACTGGATATCACACTACAGTCAACAAACAATTTGAGCTATGACCTAGACTAGAGCACCCTGAGGTAATTTCCTGGAAAAGGGAGACTTGGTCCTCACTACTTTTATGAGGAAAATGAATGCTCAATTACTAATTCATATTCTTGGCATCATGAGGAATGTGCATCACAAAATGAAACGCTCTACCAAAAAGTCCCACATCCCTTGTACTCCAGAAATGGAGCAGGGGAAAGTATTTAGAGCCATGACCTGGCCAAGAGCCCTTAGGTACAAGAACATGGCCAATTGGGACTGGTGTGCTATTCTTTCTGTAAATGAAGGGAATGCTCATATCCCTCACTCAAGTTCTACCTGCTCAGGACTCAGAATCCAGCTCCATCCTCAAAATTTTCAACCCCCTCAGCATAGCAAGAGGGAACCTATGAATCAGATTGTGTTCTGCATGCCCTGAGCCCAGCAGGGATGACTTCTTGGGAAGGCACAGCCAGCACAATTATATCTGGGGAGAAAAGAACACAGTGTTCACCTAGGCCTTCCTCAAGGTTTTCGCAATGTTACTGAGTAGGCAAAGAATTAGATATGAAGTAGCTGCAGAAAGCTGAAGAAGGATCTTTGTAGTTGTGTCTCCTGATAAAATGGTACTTTGTGGTAAAATAGTCTTGAAGCAGAATTTAGCATCTTCCCACTTTGTAAGATACAAAGTCACAAGGACATTTTTTTCCATACAGTTTGTTAGTCATGCACTAACAAAGGGCCTGTATCCTCAAAAGACCCTGATGCCATATCATTGTGCCTTTGAAACTTTCTTAACTCATGCCCTATTTTAGAGGGTTCTGGAGGAAGCACTCCCAAAGGGAGATCTTGTCCATCATTATTTAGAAGGGGAAAATGTTCACTGTACAGCATGCATATGATACATGCCTTACAAATATTCATAAAGTCTTTAAAAGACTCATAGCACAGAACCTGAAGGTTAGCTCCCACCCTTGAACAAGACTACTCCATTCCCTTTTTGGAGTGTTTGCTTTGTATAGCTTTGTAAAATAAAAAAATCTGCTTAAACTGTCTGTTTCTCTTGACTTACTAAATTATTTCCTTCCAGAAGACAAGAATCAAGAGCTATCATAACACCACAATATTTTCCAAGACTTGGAATCATCCTTTTATAAACCATCACCCTACCCTTTCCAAAGCCTCGCTTCCCATGGTGTCCAGACATGAAAACCTGGGAAACAAAACCACAAGAGTCATGATCCTGAATGCAGCCTCCTGCATGCAGCTTCTGTCTGTATGACTGATACTGGCATGTTACTGTAGGG